AGGTGACATCTACCATCATCCTCTTCCTCCACCAACAACAACACACAAATGCACATGCAATAGGACAAGAATTACCAAATGTCCTCGAATTTAGCATAGCACACAGCCTAATAGTATATTTGTCCTTTGCTGTTTTACAGGGCAGAGTTGGTGATCCTGGTCCTGTTGGTTACAGTGGAATGAAGGTAGAGTACACTTCTACCACTAACACAACATAAGTAGTGTTTATTGTCCCGCAGCACCGACTGAAAACAAAGACTTTCTGGTTGCGAAGAACTGTATGCTAAATTTATTTGGTATCCTCAGTGATGTCTACAAAAGCTGAGAGTAATGGATGACACGACATTACAAGGTGTTACATTGGGGTTTATTGAACGTACCTGAGTTTGTTTTTGTTTTTAATAACTATTTTCAAACTAAATGGGATGGATTGACATGGATGTTTTTGTTACACATGAAGATACAGGACCAAAAAGCAAGCTCAGTCAGTCTGATGTAAGCTTCATGAAGCTGCTGTCTAGTCTAGTATTGTATTATATTGAATGTATTTATGCTTTTTGTATGTTGTTTACTTCATAATGATCAGTAACTCTGAGTTAGACTTGACTCACCTTATCAATGACCACTATGCTGCTTATCATGTGATGCTAACTATGTGTGTATCTTTGTTTTCAGGGAGACCGTGGTGGGAGGGGAGAAAAGGTACTATCTGACTGCACAAATAAAAACATAATACTTTAAATTTAATGCTGTATATGTTCTATATTGTATGTTTCACGGCTGACGGATGTTGTCTGTGCTTCCTGCAGGGTGAAAAAGGTCGCATAGGCTTCAAGGTGAGCTTTTCTTGGCTTGTCTTATCTTCAGGGGGATGCTCTCTTCTCTGTGATTTCTCTGAAGTTATTAATTGTATTCTCTTTTGTTAATTATTTCTATCTCCTGTATTTTATTTTCATTTTCAGGGAGACAAAGGTCGAGGGGGAAACGATGGAATTGATGGACGCAAGGTGAGTTATAGATCCAGGACCCGTTCAGAACAACGCTGGCCATCTGGTTCATCTTTTTGCTACTGAGGTTTATTATCTCATATGTTTCTGTGGTTTTCCTCATTAGGGTGAACCTGGTTTCCCAGGTCTTTCCGGCTGTAAAGGATCTCCTGGATCAGACGTGAGTTGTACATTTGAAAGTGAAACAGATGGAAAACACTTATTAGATGTCAGCACACTGACAGCAGCTTTAGGGACTCCAAATACACAGACTGTCAGATGCATATGTATTGGTACACACACACATTGTATGTTTCTTTTTAATGGTTTGATTTCTGTCTTAAATACATTAGCACAAGACAGGACACTGCAGTGTTTGTACGACTCTCAGGCACATTTGTTTACTGATTTTCCATTAGTCACCGATGCATGATTAGGAACATCGTTGGTGGTGTGGATCAACATCACATCCTGCCTCTGGAGCCTTTGGGGCCCCTGGCTCTTCAGTAACTGCTTTGTTTTCACTCTCTCCTGCCAGATTGTTTAAATGAAGCAAACATACACAATGCATATTTGAGCATACATGAACAGCAGCCTCCAAGATTGGGTGTTATGGGTTCAGCTGTTTGCTATCAAGTAGTGAGTCTGTCTCTGTGTTTTCTGTTTCTAGGGCCACCAGGGAGAGCCTGGACCAAAGGGAGACCCTGGTTCTTATGGCCAAAAAGGAGCAAAGGTAAGACTTGGAAAATCCTTGTGCTGTCACAGATTGTAGCCTTTTAATGGTCTGTAATAACCTAATTTGTACATATTACAGGGAGATACTGGGAGAGACGGTGAACCAGGAAGACCTGGAAACTATGGCCAGCTGGGGCCTCAGGTACATCAATGCAAAGAGAAACACAGAAGGATGCCACATGACAAAGCAGGAAAAGTGATAGATGAATAAATATCTGTGTTGTGACAGGGCGATCGGGGCCCTCCTGGAGCCAATGGGGACAAAGGGGAGCGTGGTGATGATGTAAGTGATGGAGCTCCTAGACAACGGCAAAAATATAAATTTTGTGACCTAACTGCTAATATCCTGCTGTGTGTATTTCAGGGTGCACCTGGACAGGATGGACCCCGTGGCGAAAGAGTAAGATTAATATTAACTTTAAGTGAGTGTTTGTGAGTTTGTGCTGCCAAAGTATGTGTTAACATCTCTAAAATCCCTTGTAGGGACAAGCTGGAGAGAAGGGGGAGCAAGGTTCCCGTGGAAACAGAGGTCCAAGAGGAGAACCAGTGAGTGACGCAAAGGATGTTAGGAAGAAGGAGGGTTTGTGAGCATGTCAGGAACTGGCGGGATGTGCAGTTTGGTGCTTGTACAGAGTCAACTGCAACCGCACTGCCCTTAATGACACTTGGCTCCTTGTGTGATACTTGTCTATTGTTGTTGTATTGAATGTTTTTGGGTGATTTATACCCTACATCTGTTTGTTTTTTTTTTCTAGGGGGAGCCAGGACCCCGTGGAGAGCAGGGGAGGGAGGGCTCAGCTGGCCTCAACGGAGCCCCTGTAAGACATATATATTCATATAGGCACAAACAGGTGCTAAGTGCGCTGTTTGCTTCCATGTTGTGTAGTGTTTCAGGAGGCAGAGCCCCAAAAATGGACCACCCACTTTCTTTTCTGACACCATCCTTTCTTTCCAGTGGAAGAGGAAAACTTGTGCCTGTGTGTGTGTGTGCGTGTGTGTGTGTGTGTGTGTGTGTGTGTGTGTGTGTGTGTGTGCGCGCGTGTTGTGCTTCTCACTCTGTCCACATGTGAGCACTTGTATATCCATATTTCATTGGGGGGGGGCACATTGGGCAGAAGCTTAAACAGTAGGTTTGGCCGGTGCCCCAGAGAGCTGCCCACTCCTGCACGCTCCCCTCTTTCAGAATTTCAGTTTG